TTAACTTTCCCCTGTAGGAAGGGGAAAATATCAAAATAATTTGTAATAACAGGCCCACTTTTTTATAGCTAACAGATACTTGGTACATACTAATTAGTAGTTATATCATAGCTAAGAATAGAACCTTCTGACATGAAATCATCGAGCATTCTCAATTCACATTCTTCTATAGTTTCTGTCTTAATCAGTTCTCAAGCCCAAATCATTGACTGTAAGTTGATCATTGTGAGCTTCATATTTTACATTTCTATTTATCCAAATAGTAAACCAAGATATCATGAATAAAAGTTGTATAATTAAGATAGGAAGCAATAATTTAAAAACCAATGTCCATGACTTTAGTATAAAATAAAATGGAACCTTTGTATAAGTCATTTAATTTACTGTGTCTATAATTAAAGTACTTTGAATAAAATTAAATAATACTAGCACATCAGCAGATAACTTAAAGCTAAAGCTATTATAATAGATCAAGGAAGTTATTAGAATGGTATTTTCAAAGTCAGGATAATTCCTTTATTATTGCAAGATAATTACCATATGCCTTCAATCTTCCTTTAAATCTCAATTATCTCCTGTACCAACCTCTGTGAATAAGAATTATCCCAAACTTTTACCTGAAGTTTAAAAAATAATCTTGAAATTTAGATGATTCTAAGAAGGAAGAAAATATTTCTATTGTTTCATGAATTTCTAATAGTTCCAATATATCAAAAAGATATGCTAGGGCAGAGAAAAAATGCATTATTACCTGTCTCTTAAGTTAGACATGTTCTATCCTTTACGGGTGAACAATTATGGAATAAAATGTTAAGGGATATGTACAAAATGCAATGCAAGAGCTGACCAGATCAGAAACCTTGCAGTTTAATGTCAATTTTGCTAGATAAGGGAAAAAAATTCAGTCATTCCAGGTTATCTTACTCCAACTAAAAATACTGTGGAGGCTGGTGCCATGGCTCACTAGGCTAATCCTCCGCCTGTGGCACCGGTACTCCAGGTGCTAGTCCTGGTTGGGGTGCCAGTTCTGTCCTGGTGGCTCCTCTTGTAGTCCAGCTCTCTGCTGTGGCCTGGAAAGGCAGTGGAGGATGGCCCAAGTGCTTGGGCCCTGCTCCCACATGGGAGACCAGGAAGAAGCACCTGGCTCCTGGCTTCAGTTTGGCTCATTTGGTAGCAGCCATTTGGGGGCTGAACCAATGGAAGGAAGACCTTTCTCTCTGTCTCTCTCTCACTGTCTAACTCTGCCTGTCAAAAAAAAAATACTGTGGTGGAAAGAGACTATATAGATTTTAAAATTATTTTTGATCAAAATCATTTTGCATTGCCAATTTTTATCTAGTGTACAACTGGATTTTCATATAACGTATTTCAGTAATTGCTCTATAAATAAATTTTATTTAATATTTGTATATAGTGAGGCTGACACTATGCCATAATGGCTTAAAGTGCCACCTGACATGTTGGCATCCCATATAGCTGCCTGTTTGTGTTCTATCTGTTCCAATTCCAATCCAACTCCCTACTAACGTGCCTGGAAATGATGCCCCAAGTGCTTCAGCCCCTTCCTCCCATATAGGAGACCCAGGACAAACTCATGGCTCCTTGCTTCAGCCTGCCTGAACCCTGACCATTGTAGTAATTTGGGGATTGAACCACTGAATGGGAGATCTCTCTTCTGTCTGTCTCTGTCTCTCCTCTCTCTGCAAGTCTGCTTTTCCAATCAACATTTTTTTAAAAGGTGTATATAGTGTCACAATATTTTACATCGTTTATTCTTGTGTAGCTTCTTTCATAGGCAGATGCCAATAGTTCCATAAGAGTCCACAGAAATGACTAACACAAAATATGCCAACAAACTGGAAAATCTGGAAGAAATGGATAGCTGTCTGGAAACATACCATCTACCCAAACTGAGACATAAAGACATAGAAAAGCTAAGCAGACCAAAAACCAAGATGAAGACTGAATCAGTAATAAAAACCCTCCCAACAAGAAAAGCCCAGCACCAAATGACTTCACTGTTCAATTCTACCAGACTTCTAAAGAATTAATTGTATTCTGCTCAAACTATTCAAAACAACTGAAAGGGAGGGAATCCTCCCCAACTCCTATGAGGCCAGAATCATCTTAATTTCAAGTAACTCAACAACAAAACAAAGAAACCAGTTAATAAATGTGCAAAGGACTTGAATAGGCTTTTTTTTTAAAGATAAAATTCAAATGGCCAACAAATACATGAAAAAATGCTCAGAATCACTAGCCATCATGGAAACGTGAATTAAAAACCAGAATGAAGTTTCCCCTCATCCCAGCTAGAATAGCAACCACATAGAAATCAACAAAACATAAATGCTGGTTAGGATGTTGGGAAAATGTTCCCTAATATACAATTTTTGGGAACATAAACTAGTATGGACATTGTGGAAGACACTATGGAGATTCCTCAGAATCTGAAAATAGATCTACTATATGACTAGCAATCCCACTTATCGGAATTTATCCAAATGAAATGAAATCAGCATATGGAAAAATTTATGTGTACCCAAAAGTTTATTTCGGCTCAATTCACAATAGCTTAGTTATGGAATCAACCAATGCTGGATAAACAAAGTATTGTATATATACATAATGGAATACTAATCAGCAATAAAAAAGGAATGAAATCTTACTTTTATGAAAGATTTGGAACAGGTTTTTAACACTTTTATTTTTAAAGATTTATTTATTTGCTCTTTTTTTAAAGATTTATTTTATTTACTTGAAAGACAGAGTCACAGAGAAAAATAGAGACAGAGGTTGTACATCTGCTGGTTCACTCTCCAGATGGCCACAATGGCTAGAGCTGTGCCGATCCAAAGCCAGGAGCCAGGAGCTTCTTCCAGATCTCCCATATGGGTACAGGGGCCCAAGCACTTGGGCCATCTTCTATTGCTTTCCCAGGCAATAGCACAGAGCTGGATTGGAAGAGGAGCAGCCAGGACTACAATGGGCACCTATATGGGATGCTGGCACTTCAGGCCAGGACTTTAACCCACTGTGCTACAGTGCCGGCCCCAGGATTTATTTATTTATGAGACAGAAAGAGCTACAGAGAGAAAGAAGAGACACACAGAGATCTTCCATCTATTGTTTCACTTCCCAGATGGCTACATATCTGAGACTGGGACAGGCTGAAGCTAGCATCCAAAAGATTCTTATGGGTCTCCCACAGGGGTAGCAGGGGCCCAGAGACATGGACCATTTTCCATTATTTTGGAAATATATTTTAAAAATAATTACATAATATTTATTTTAAATAAGTTCACACAATGCCTAGATATAAAATGCATTGTATTCTTCTGTCAGATTATAACTTCCTCACACACACAAACAGCACCTTGCTTATAGCATGGGATTAAGGTAATCACAAGATCTCTGGCATGATTTGCCCACCTTCAGTCTCCAACCTTCAATGCCACTGCAGAGAACTCTTTCTTAAAAGGTAAATCTTATCCAGTCACATACTTCTTTACAATTCCATCAATAGCATTTAGATTAAAATACAAATTCCTGAGTTTGGCATACTAGATCCTCTAATATCTTACTCTTTCTAATCTATCTCCTATTTTCATAGAACTATGTGGCTTGAGCTATGCTGAACCGTATGTACATGGATTGTGTACTTCATTCTGCTGTCCTGAGGTGTGGGACTATATGGCCCACTTTGCACAGTGTGTCCATCTTTTTCTTAGTGAATTGCACTTCATTCTTAAAGACCAGTCTAGACATTACTTTCTTCTAAGAAGCCTTTCCTGACCGGAGACTAGTTAGGGTGACTCTTTTGTACTCTAAGAGCAAAAAGATGTTTGAGTACTTATCATAAGATACCATCAGTTTTGAAGCCTCCAAGAGGATTATTTTCTTGCTCAGTGGCCTCAGCAGATGGCATATGGCAGTAATTAAGGCATGTTAAATAAATCATATAAAGAATCGAGATATCAAGGATTAGAACTGCAAATACACAATAAAACACTTTCAACTAAACCTTACATGGTAGACTATGAAAAATATCTGAAAGGAAATAAGCTACAGAACTATCTAAATGTTTATGTAAATTATCTTTAAGTTTTTGTTTTTTATTCTTAAGCATAGTTTCCGTAGGTAAAAACAAACATAAGGTGATTTTTTTGAAAATTAATTAAAGATGAAACAAGAGAATAACTACAAATTTTAGTAAATAGAATACAGCGCTTTGATAAAACAGAGGCCATAGAAATTAATGTACAATGCAATCATATTTATGCACATAACATGAAGCAAATTACTTAAATTCACTACTTCTCAGTTAGATGCTATTCTTCTAATCCTAACTTCTATGAAAGTAGCAAACAAGTAGGAAACTAGTTAGAATAGTAAAATATTACAAATATCTACACACATACTATTATGAACTATGATCTTGAGCAAGAAATATTGCTGCCAATTTTGAAAGCATTTCAGATAATGCTTAATTTCCAGAATTAAGTACTATTAAATAGAAAGAGAAAATAAAACATCTATAAGGAGCACAACTATGTGATTCTACCTGAAAATGATCTCATTATAGTTGGATATCTATAAATTTCAAATGGTGAAAATACTAGAAAGGGAATTATAAAAAAGAACACCTCTGGATCTCCAGAGCACTTTTCAATGAGGTGCAGAGTTGACTAGACATAGTAAATAAGGTTAATGCCAAAATTTCACTTTAATAGGTTATTTTCCAAGCAGAAAGGGATTCTGTAAACAGTTAAAAGTGAACACACACACACACACACACACCTGTTTATAAATTCTATGTAGGGTTGTCATATGGCTAACCCACTGTAGGGGACTATGTAGAACCTGAGATCCGTTGTTGGAGGATGTCCAAACATCAGTCAGTATAGGTCACATCATCTATTTAAACCAATTCTCTGGAGATAAATGTGTTGAAAATAGTGTCTCATCTTTGATAGTGCAGTCCTCTATGAGGACTTTCTTTGTCTAGCTCTCCTGAGAGCAAATCTCTAAATCTTCTGTTAGAATGAAGAATCAGCAATCATGTTGTTGAATAAGGTTGTTGAAAGGAATAAGAGTTTATGCTCCTTAAATCCAAGCACTCACCACAGCCCTCACAAATTTGGATCAAACATTCTAAATTAATTATAGAATTCTGTTTAGCTGTTCCTCCCAACATCCAAAACTATTAACATCTCCTGACTTCTGTTTGTTTCTTTCCTCTTCTCTCTGCTCCAGCACAATATGGCTTCTTAAATGTCCTAATGCTAATCTCTACAGGTATAGGGGAGGTAGCTAGAGGAAATGCACTTATTTATCCCAATTCATTTAACCTAAGGGTATAGTATTTTTATTTTTATGTTTTACAATTGTTATAACTTAAAATATTAATTATATATTTAGTAGTGTTCTACCAAAGCTAATGACATTAAATACAGACTTCTGTTAGAAATTTCCCATTTCTTCTTCCAGCATCAGTAAAATGGTGTCAGGCTTCAAAGATGGAGGCTGGGTAAAGAAGAGGAAAGAAAACAGAAAAAAGAAAGAAAACAGAGTCTTTGAATAATTTGTTCCATATTTATTTATTCTTTCAAAAATATACCTACATCTTATGCTTCCAAATACGTATATTTGGCACGACTTGTTATGATATAATGATTTTTCTATCCATTGCTGGAATCTTTATAATTAAATATGCCATTTAAGAAAACTTGCAAAAAGTATTTTTGTTTTCTTTAGGTTTAAAGATTTATTTATTTGAAAGGCAGAGTTACAGAAGGAGAAGAAGGAGAAGGAGAAGGAAAAGAGAGAGAGAGCGTGCTCCCATCTGCTGATTCACTTCCTAGATGACTGTAACACCCAAGGCTGGGCCAGGCTTAAGCTAAGAGCCAGGAACTTCTGGGTGCCACATGGGTGGCAGGGTCTCATGAACTTGGGTCATCTTCTGCTACTTTCTAGATGCATTGTCAGGGATCTGGATCAGAAGTGGGGCAGCTGAGGCACAAACCAGCATCCATATAGGATGATGGCATTGCAGGTGGTGGCTTAACTAGCTATACCAAATGCCAGATCCTCAATTTTATTTTTAAAAAATAGTTAAATATCCCATTGGTTCTAATGTATGGTAATATTAAGTAGGAACAGCAAAGAATACCTAATGATTTCCAGAATTTACAAGGCTGAGAAAATTTTGATTGATGTAATTAAAAGTTTTTCTATGAGACTTCCAAGAAAACATGAGAAAAACTCCATTTTATTACACACTAATTTTTCCATATTAGGTATGACACTTTCCTGAATTTGATAAATAATGAAATACTTTCTCTGAGATTTTGAGTACGGAAATTAAAACAAATATTATTTCATCATTAAATGTCTTCAATTTAAAAAAGCTGTAATAGTATATAATTATTATCACTTAGTTTGCCAAATAATTAAATCAAAGTGATAAAAGTGTAAATATCTTCAATATTGAATATAACTTATGTATGAGCTCTGAAAGAAATCCTATTTTTTTCAATTTAAAAATATCCTAATATACTATAATTCATTGGGAAATTATTCTGTTGAGTATTCTTACCTAATACTGCCTTAAATGGTAATCCTATGGTCACTGTAAAAAACAAACCATTATCATTATTGATAGAACACAGAAAAAGCCTTTAAAATATCATCACTTAAAACATTATAAGAGCTAAAATATGATATAACATCTTATCTTAAAACCCAATTGAATTAATACGATTCAAAATTTTCAAATATTCAGATATTTCATACTGCCAAGTAAATAACCAAATTAATTGGCATGTTTATGTGGTGCTGGCATCACAGGCAGTGGTTGAACATGTTGAGCCACAATGTCAGCTCCAAACTGCAAATAATTTTCTTTATATTGAACCCTGGAAATGATTAAGAATCTGTTAGTTCTCACTCTGTCTCTCCTTCTCTCTGTCAGCCTCCTTTCAACTAAATAAATCTCTAAGGAAAATGAGATCAGTGCTGTGGTACTGGTGTGGTGAGCTACTACCTCTAAGTCTCAGCTACTCCACTTCTATTCCAGCTCCCTGCTAATGTGCCTGGGGAAGCAGTGGAAAATGACTTAAATACTTTTGCTCCTATCACCCCATGGGTGACCCAGATCATTGAGTTTCTGGCTCCTGCTTTCAGTCTGGCTCAACCTAACTGTTGCAGCCATTTGAGGATGGATGGATGATGGATGATCAGTTTTTCTCTCTCCCTTCCTCCCTTCCCATCATTCTGCTATTCAAATAGATAGAATAAAACTTTTTATTTTTAATTTTATTAGAGAGAGAGAGAGAGAGAGAGAGAGAGAGAGACTCCATCTACTGGTTCATTACCCAAATAGCTTCAATGGACAGAGCTGGGCCTGTCTGAAGCTAGGAGCCAGCAGCTTCTTCTGTGCACAGGGGACCAAGTACATTATTTATAGAAATAAACTAGGCAATAAGCTTTAAAATGCAAACTGACATTAAGAAGTCTAATATGAAATTTATATGTTCATGAAAATACTCTAAATTTTCTTACCATTAACTTTATACTCAATAAAATATTTTGACCTCATATTAAAAATAAATGTATAAATGTTATTATTTTTTGTTTTGTTTTGTTTTCTTTTTTAACTTTTATTTGATGAATATAAATTTCCAAAGTACAGAATATGGATGACAATGGCTTCCCCCCCATAACGTCCCTCCAAACCGCAACCCTCCCCTTATCCAATCCCTCTCCCCTTCCATTCACATCAAGATTCATTTTCGATTCTCTTTATATACAGAAGATCAGTTTAGCATACATTAAGTAAAGATTTCAACAGTTTGCTCCCACACAGAAACATAAAGTGAAAAATACTGTTTGAGTACTAGTTATAGCATTAAATCTCAATGTACAGCACACTAAGGACAAAGATCCTACATGAGGAGTAAGTGCACAGTGACTCCTGTTGTTGACTTAACAAATTGACACTCTTGTTTATGGCATCAGTAATCACCCTAGGCTCTTGTCATGAGCTGCCAAGGCTATGGAAGCCCCCTGAGTTCACTGACTCTGATCATATTTAGACAAGGCCATGGTCAAAGTGGAAGTTCTCTCCTCCCTTCAGAGAAAGGTACCTCCTTCTTTGATGACCCATTCTTTCCACTGGGATCTCACTCACGGAGATCTTTCATTTAGGTTTTTTTTTCCCCCAGAGTGTCTTAGCTTTCCATGCCTGAAATACTCTCATAGGCATTTCAGCCGGATCCGCATGCCTTAAGGGCTGATTCTGAGGCCAGAGTGCTGTTAGGACATTTGCCATTCTATGGGTCTGCTGTGTATCTCACTTCCCATGTTGGACCATTCTCTCCCTTTTTGATTCTATCAGCTAGTATTTGCAGACACTATTCTTGTTTATGTGATCCCTTTGGTTCTTAGTCCTATCATTATGATCAATTGTGAACAGAAATTGATCAGTGGGACTAGTGAGATGGCATTGGTACATGCCACCTCGATGGGATTGAATTCGAATCCCCTGGTATGTTTCTAACTCTACTGTTTGAGGTAAGTCAGCTTGAGCATGTCCCGAATTGCACATCTCTTTCCTCTCTTATTCCCACTCTTATATTTAACAGCGATCACTTTTCAGTTAAGTTTCAGCACTTAAGAAGAATTGTGTATTGCTGTATTATAAGATCCCTCTAATTCTAAATGCCTGTGACTCTTAAATCATTAGCATTTATTGACTTCTTTTCACCTAAGAAAGCATCATAATTTACACTTACTTGACTTTTATGTATCAATATATGCTTTTGCAAGAGTCATATAATGTATGTAGGGTATATACCTTGCTTCCAGTAAAGTTGCCATGCTCAGTCCTGTAAGCTGTGAACAAGACAGTTTCAGTTCTTCAGCATTACACACAACTGTAAATTCCAGCAGCGTAACAGAAGTATTATCAGTATATACAAAGGAAGATAGAGATTTACAAAATTTTTAGAAAGGCATTAGTATAGTAAATAAATATATTTCTTTCTAAAGTTATAACATTTGAATATTTAGAGCAGGAAAACTAAACAAGTCCTTGCCAATAATAACCTATATTGGGGCCTATATAGAACTCATTTTCCATCTTATGATACTAAAAGAATTGGGGTTATAAGGAAAAAATGAAGTCACACATGCAGAAATTTTAACCAAAACAGAATATAGATAGTGTATTTGTGTCATCTATAATCAAACACATAAGAACATACTATATTCCAGTAAATGATTTCTGAATATTTTTAAGTTTTATTGATGAGGGAATTTCCTTTTCATTGTACAGCAGTTATTCCCCTTTCCATAAAAGTGAAAATGATATTTCTCTTTCTTTTAAGATTTATTCTATTTATTTGAAAGACAGGGACACAGAGAGAGGTAGAGACAGAGAGAGAGGTCTTCCATCCGTTGGCTCACTCCCCAGATGACCACAATGGCCAGAGCTGTGCCAATCCAAAGCCAGGAGACAGGAGCCTCCTACGGGTCTCCCATGTGGGTACAGGGGCCTAAGGACTTGGACCATCCTCCACTGCCATCTCAGGCCACAGCAGAGAGCTGGATCAGAAGAAGAGAAGCTGGGACTAGAACCTATGCCTATATGGGATGTCGGCGCTCCAGGCCAGGGTGTCAACCCATTGAGCCACAGCGCCAACCCTCCAAAATGATGTTTCTTTAAATTAAAAGAAATGGATGAAGTAATTCTGTAAAATATGTGAATTTTAATTGATCCATCAGAATTTATTGATATACAGACACACAGAAAATAAGTGCTTTTACATCTTATCATACAGATCATGATAGTACAGCACCTGATATACTGTGCAGAAGATTCTACAGTTACTTACAGTCCCAGTAACTTAACATATGGAATAATCTGCTTGTTTAGAGAATTTCCCAGAATCTTTTACCTACACAGCATTTAACATTAGCTTCTTGAACCCCTCCACTTTTCGTCTTACTTACTCTGAGTCCCAATCAATACAGGAAAATGGCTGTGGAATCACTCTTTTGCTGAGTAATGGGAAGATGAAGAAATTAATGAGGAAAGAGAATTGTACAGCAAAGACCAAGACAAACCACAGGAGGTCAGGAAAGTCATCTGACCAAGTGAACTACATGCTCTGTCTTTTAATGCTTTTCTTTTCTTGCTTAAAAAGAGATCAGGGCTATTGCTATCTTTGATAACTAAGGAGAAGATAACCACAATGCTCAAGAAAAGTGAGTCAATAAGACACCAGAGCTAAGAAAAAATCCCAGAAAATAAAAAATAGAAAAAATCACCATGCACTCCCTTCACAGTTCCTGAAATAACAATGAAATAGAGCAAATATAAAATTAGAATATAAGGCCGGCACTGCGGCTCAATAGGCTAATTCTCCACCTGTGGTGCCAGCACACGGGGATCTAGTCCCGGTCCAGGAGCTGGATTTCTGTCCTGCTTGCACCTCTTCCAGTCCAGTTCTCTGCTGTGGCCCGGGAGTGCAGTGGAGGATCACCCAAGCCCTTGGGCCCTGCACCTGCATGGGAGACCAGGAGAAGCACCTGGCTCCTGGCTTCGGATCAGTGTGGTGCGCCGGCCGCAGTGCGCTGGCTGCGGCGGCTGTTGGAGGGTGAACCAACGGCAAAAAGGAAGTCCTTTCTGTCTGTCTCTCTCTCTCTCACAATGTCCACTCTGCCTGTAAAACAAACAAAAACAAACAAAAAATTAGAATATAAAAAAACCTCATGGCAGTGTAAGGAATTTTAACCTTTTTTTTTCCGTTTTTAAAATATAACATTTATTGCTTTAGATGGTTTGATACAGAACAGCTTTCTTTTCATTCTGAATCTGGAAGTTCTATACAACTGAATACAAAGAGGAACAAAAAGTACCAAAACCAAACTTGTGATTCTCTGTTCATGTGGCATAAACCAGTTTTGTACATAACGTGTAGCAGCAGTTTTTTAAGTTCCCTTTAGAAAAATATGAATTCTACACATTTATTATTGTTTCCTGTTTAATGCATGGGCTGAAATCAATAGGATCAACTTCCTTCTTGAAGAGAGAGGGGAGAGGAAAGAGACGAACGTCTGACGAATCTTTCTGAATGGGCAACCGAGCTGCGTGCGAGACCGCCCTGGGGACTTCGCTCTCACAGCCAGACGCTTCCTCCTGTAGTGATTGACTCTCAGCATCGTGTCCATTAATCAGAGAGAAAAAACAAAAAACAAACAAACAAAAAAAAAAAACAAAAAAAAACTTGCACCTCAAAAAACTTTTCAGAAGATCCATATATATACACACACATATATATATATATATATTTTTTTGTAAAAGCCTTGAGAGAAGGAGAGAGAGAATAATCAAACAAAATGTATGGAAACAAATTAGCTGGACATGCAAAGCAAGCTACGATTCACCCAGAGTTTAAACAAATCACAAACTTCACAGTTTAATACTCGGGGAGGGGACGAGAACAACGAACAAGTAATACATCTCTCAACCTCACTAATAAAATGTGGCAAGACCTTACTACGGGGGCGGGGGCACAGATCAAGGCTAAATAAAGCTTTAACTCCATAGCGATTACTGCGGCGGCAGCCCCGGCCCCGCGGCTTGCTGGGAGCGATTCCTGCTACATCTCACCGAGGCCTGGTTAGTCACGGCTCCTCCCCACAGCACTGTGGGTCTGGCCGTGGAGAGTCGGAGAGAGAGACAGAACACAAGGAACCCCAAATAACAACGAAAAGAAAAACTGTAGTAACAATAGAGAGAGACCACAAGGGCTGCGGGAACTGGTTTCACATAAACAGACCAAGGGGCCAGCGGCTGTCACCTGCACTTGCCTCCACGGAAAATGGAAGCCCGTTTGGGAACTGGCTCGTGCCTCCCCGTTACAGGTCAAAGCCAGCTCTGCCTCCCTTGTTAGCCTTCTGCACGCCCAGACTATGCTTTCCATCCTCTAAGTGTCTCCACCTCCCTCAGGGCCCCTGCCACCAGACCAACCCGTGAGCAAGGGGGAGAGGGACACGCGTGCTTTCACGTGCATGGACACAAGCACAGGAGGGGCGCCTGGAACCAGGAGGGGCTGGAGGGGGCGGGCAGGAGGCAGCATATATATATAACATAAGTGATTAAAAATATCTAAACAGAGAAGACAGTTAATTTTTTTAGAAATCAGAAGAGAGAAACACTATTTAAAAATTACTGTGGCAACACACAAAAGGGATGGAAAATTGTTACCTCAACTAGCATAGTGACACTGAGAGTATAAAAGGGGGAAATACGACCTACAGAGAAAAGGTGGGTCAGTTTTATTTATTTATTTTTTATTTTTTTGACAGGCAGAGTGGACAGTGAGAGAGAGAGACAGAGAGAAACGTCTTCCTTTGCCGTTGGTCCACCCTCCAATGGCTGCCGAAGCCAGCGCGCTGCAGCTGGCGCACCGTGCTGATCCGAAGGCAGGAGCCAGGAGCTTATCCTGGTCTCCCATGGGGTGCAGGGCCCAAGCACTTGGGCCATCCTCCACTGCACTCCTGGGCCACAGCAGAGAGCTGGCCTGGAAGAGGGGCAACTGGGACAGAATCCGGCGCCCCGACTGGGACTAGAACCCAGTGTGCCGGCACCGCAAGGTGGCGGATTAGCCTATTGAGCCATGGCGCCTGCCAAGGGTCAGTTTTAACAGTTGAAAAAAAGAGATCATAAAGAACAGGAATGAAATTAACTGAAACGATGAGTAGAGAAAAGTTTGGGAGAAAAAAGCATGGTTTGTTGAGATATATTAATGAAAGAATTACACATAACTCCAGCAAACAATAGGACATGGATAATTAAAACCAGAGTTATATCCAAACTCAGAGCAAGCAAAAACATTCCACTTTCATACGTTCATGCTTAAAATCCCCATAAATGCTACATCATTATCATTCAAGGTTTCATGACATTTCAATACAAATTAACATATTTGCAGTCTAAGATGTGTACTTCTCCTATATTTCTGACATTAGGATGTGCTAGCAAATGGTGGCATGCCATCATTGAAAGGCTTTTGATTTTTTGTATTTGAAACAATAATGGTATATTTTACTATGATGACATCATGAAATCAATAAAACTGCTATCCCTGAAGCATACTAATCTTTTAGTTTAAAAATATTTGCACTTTTCAGTTAATGCCAATTCTGATATTTCTTTTAACCAAGACAAAGGAAGATGATCAGCTACCACAAGAACATGACAAACAAAATCTACCTTTTGAAATCCTAAATAGAATGAAAGCAAGCATCATCATATTATTTTATAACATTAAACCCAGTAAAAAGAGGTCAGAATAATGACAACATAACAGAGATTTATGATTATATTCTAAATGCTGGAATGGCATCTTTGATAAGTAGTAATTACATGAAAATATTTCTACCTCTTAGGCAAAAAACTGAAAAAAAAAACACTGAAATGCTGTGGTTCACACTGAAACTATCAAATCATTTTAGTCTGGAAGGCTACTACAGTGACTGATTTGCTTACAATTTCCCATTGTTAGAGGAACACATTTCAAACTAGAATGAAAAGTCAAATATCAGCATACATACATACATGCAGACACACACACACACACACACACACAATGTATATTTGGGGGAAGGCTTCAGGCTTTCTGAAAATTCATTATCTAATAGTGCTTTAAAAATTCTTAGATTTTTTTAATTTAAAACCAACATTCCTGGTTTTAAGCGGTGTTAATAGCCTAAAAATATGTTCCTGATCCAAGCTCAAAATAATAACAGAAATAGATAGGAAAATAATACAAACAATAAAAAGCAGAAAAAGGGTAATAGTTTAAGATGAAATAAAAAATGTAGTACAGGAAAGATGGTGGAATAGGAAGGGAGCACACTGATAGTCCGGGTAGAGACAGTTTAATAAAAGTGGAGATACTGCAGATTCAAGGAAGAGTAGGGGAAGAAACAGCAGAAGAAACTCTTCCGGAACGTGTGATTCACAGTGGACCTGCATGGAGAGCGTGGGAGCCCACAGTTCGGGACACCAGTGGCAGACTCAACAGACCAGCGCTGGAATGCGAGGTGAGCCGAACCTCAATAACCCGAGACACTGGCAGGCAAGCCGGGAGAGGAGACTAGAGGGAACGACCCCTGGGGGGGAAAAGTTCACCAGGCTAACTGGAAGAGAGAGAGAGAGAGAAAAAAAAAAGGTGACTGGTACGGACACAGGTTTCTCTCTCTCTGCTCACCTCTCAAGGGCGAGTAAGACAAAGAGCAGGCGCCATCTTGGACTTACGTCATAAGCAGAGCGACCTCAGGTCTGCATCGGCCCTGAGCCTAGCAGAAAAACCTGACTCTGGGTGGGGCGAATTAACAGGAGATTAGGACCTAGTAAATTTGTGGTGCTACTGAACTGAGACTATGAAAAAAGAGACGGTGGGGGAGAGAACCCACAGAATTCACATGAGTACTCTCCAGAGATGCTACAATTCCGTAACTTTGGCAACCCAGTGGGAGACTGAAGGAGAATCTGAGCCCACCCTGAGGGCAGAACAGATTCCCTGTGTGGTCCTCGGGAAAGAGCTTCCAATCTCTGGCTCCTGTGGGTATATCATTAGCCTGCTAACTACCTCCAACTTTGTTCAGCTGTGCGGAATTACTTCCCTTTTGAATCAAAAAAAGAAAGAGAGAGAGAGAGAGATCTACCATGCCTAACCTGGGAGTATCACCTTTGGCACACCAAACAGAGCTCTCAGGCCACAACCATCTCAAGCCTCTAAGGCTCCATCAAAAACAGACAGTCCACTTAATCTAGAGACTTAGTATAACAAGAAAAAGCACCACAGTGAAGAAACCAAATATCTCCAATATGCCAAATAACAAACGCAAAAACCGAGGTAATAAAAACAAGGAAGTCACCATGACGCCCCCAAATGAAAAAGACACCCCAATTCAAGATTATGAAGATGATGAGATAGAAGAAATGCAAGAAGCAGATCTCAAAAAATTGATAAGAACATTAAGAAGTTCTCAAAAACAAATTCTTGAACTACAGAAATCCTTAATGGACAAGATAGAAAATCTCTCTCATGAAAATGAAATATTAAGGAGGAATCAAAATGAAATGAAACAACTAGTACAACAGGAAACTGTGATAGTGACTGAAGTGAAGAATTCAATAGATCAAATGAAAAACACAATAGAGAGCCTTACAAACAGAATGGGTGAAGCAGAAGAGAGAATATCGGACTTAGAAGAGAGAACAGGAAAGGATACAGTCAGACCAAGGAAAAGAAGAGGAAATTAGGAATCTAAAACATATTGTCGGGAATCTTCAGGATACTATTAAAAAACCCAACATTCGGGTTCTAGGAGTTCCTGAAGGCATGGAGAGGGAGAAAGGATTAGAAGGCCTTTTTAGTGAGATATTAGCAGAAAATTTCCCAGGTTTGGAGAAGGACAGAGAAATCCTGGTAGAGTACGCTCACAGAACCCCTAATAAACATGACCAAAAGAGATCCTCACCATGACACATTGTAATTAAACTCTCCACAGTGAAACATAAAGAAAAGATCCTAAAATGTGCAAGAGAGAAACATCAGATTACTCTCAGAGGATCTCCAATCAGACTCACAGCAGACTTCTCATCAGAAACACTACAGGCTAGGAGGGAATGGCAAGACATAGCACAGGT